TAAAATTTATCAGTGTTCTAGAAGTCGGTAGGCGCCCGCCAGGCGCCCGGCCAGCGCCTAGCGCCTAGGCGGGGCCTAGAGATTAATATTAAATATCTTACTTTTTTTTTATTTTTTTCACTACCTAAAAAATGAGATTACTTCAATGATATAATAAATGTCCACAAACTTAAATCCAAACAATAATATTAATATTGTAATGAAAATTAAAAACATGATACCAATTAGCAATCCACATTAGCAACACCATGACAACAAGTTAATAATATTGTACTAACCACAATCTCAAAACAAGAAACCAAGAACACGAGGAACATAAATTTATACTATATTTTTCTTTTTCGAATGTTAATTGTCAAATTTCTACTAAGTTATTCTCTTTAGAATTTAATCGAACACATTGTCAACAACCAATTACACACTATAATAATATTATATCAACCAATCAACACCAAATTTTAAAAATTTCACACAACAAGATTCCAATAAATTTCATTAAATCTTACAATTAAGAAAATCTAATTACATAATATATAAGTGACAATTAAGTGAACTAACATAATATCCAAGAATTCCATACAAATATTTTTTGTTTTTAATTTCGTCCCTGACTGAGAGACAAGAGGGAGGGTCGAATCCGGCGGTGAGTCACGTCTGACGGCGAGTCACATCCGGCAGCGAGTGGAGTCCGCCTGAAGAAGGTCGTGAACAGGGTTTGTGACTGAATTTATTTTTTGTTCTCTGTTGTTCGTTCTGCTTCCCAAGCCCAAGGCACTTGATTTTTGTTAAAAAAACTTTTGTCCCAAATACAAAACTATGTCGTTTTGCAATTAACTAAAAAAAAAAGAACAACCTGTTACCTAAACGCCGAGCTCCGCCATCGTCCTGCCTAGCCCCGCCTGCTGCCGCCTATGCCCGACAAAGCCACCGAACCCGCCTAGCCGCTGAGACTGTCGAGAGCCGCCTAGCCCCGCCTAGGCGGCGCCGAGCCCGCCTAGCCGATTTTTATCGCCGACTAGACCAAATCGTCGGCACCGGAATGCCGCCAAGCGCCTAGGCGCCGCCTAGGCCGATTTTTAGAACACTGGAATTTATACTCATAAACACAAATAACTGTTGAGTACAAATGAGTACAAAACACTTGGTCTGAAAAATTAGGACCAAGTCGGACAAACATCAAGCCAATGATGACTGCTAGAAGACTCCACTACATTCAAAGCTAAACAAGCACACTCATCTATCCAATCCTCTTGAGCTACAAAAAGGAAAGAAACATAACTAAAAATAAATTTTGAAGAACATATATCTTCAAACAAAGTTCTGCAACTTCCTTCCAAAGATCTTCTTTCTTGGAGGTCTTGAGCCATTTTCTCATCCACTTTGACTGAAATAGATTTTCGGTCCAGCAAGAACGCTCTCCAAAGTGCGTGCTTAACTCCCAATAAAAGAGATTCTGAATGGTCACAGCTGTGATGAAGAAACACAACCCAATTCCTGCAAATCGAGCCTGTTTCATCCACTGCAATTCCTCTAAAGCCACTGTCCGCCAAAGGGATCACACATGCACTAACAAAGATACTCCTTTGCCCTACATTAATGCAGTTCTTTGAAATCAACCCTAAATACATCAAAGGTTTCCCACAAATTCTTGTACTCCAACCATTCCTCGCTAGCTCTATCAGGAATATCCTTTTCTAAGATTTTNNNTAAACCCCAACAATTTTTTGTTTTCCATAGCCACCATAACATATAATCCGTGAGCTCTATTCTATCCTCCCAACAATCTCCTTTTTTGGCATTACAAATACTTCCCCACCAATTCTTAAACTGATCAGTATTAACTTATTAAGCACAGAAGAATCCCATCTAACAACAACTAATTTTCAGATTTTGTGAGCTCTTTCACACTCAAAAAACAGATGCATAGGGGTTTCAGGCTTATCTCCACAAAGAGTACAACAAGGATCGCGAATGATACCTTTTTTGTGAAGATTTCCAGCCACAGGAAAAGATTCGTGTACACTTCTCCATAGAAAGATCTTGAGCTTAGGCTTTATCTTTAATTTCCATATCCTGTCCCAAAGCTTCTCCATTTTCTTTGCTTTTTTGTTCGTTCTACACTCGAGCACTAAAATTGCATTTTCATATGTGTTTCCCCCTTTTGTCTAATGAGTTAATTAACGCTTGTACTTTCTTGAATTTGGTTGTAAAATTTATTAATTTCAGGAAAAAAATGGCATATACAAGAATGTAAATATTTGATGAGCATATATGTGAATATTTGTTGGAATATCACTTGTGAGTCGTCTCGAATTGATTTGATAGGGTAATGAGCCTAGTGGTCTACTCCGCCCATCACCAATTGGTTTTGAAATGAAACCTCACTATGATGCACATAGGTTCACCCTTTTATAGTGCGCTTAACCTGTGTGAGACCGCACCCCTATTTCTCCGATTATCATAATTTGACAATATTAAAATTCGATATGACAAAATAAAGTTATACAAATAAGTGTCACAAACCGCTTTGTAAATTGGTATCTTCATGACCGTCAATACGGAACTCTGATGACTTGTAAAATACAGTGGGAGAGGTCCCGACGATATGTTCTTCGACCCCCAAGTCAGATCTTGCTCGTGATCTTATAAAGCTATAGTATGTAATATACGTTAAGCATAAAAGAACCTGGTAACCTCCTTTATAAGGAGGTCCTCTGCCTAAGTAACTTCATTACTAGGAAAGAACTCTTACCATATCTCGTTTCCTAGTATGACATGCCTCTAATATCTTCGATTCTTCAGCGAGATACATTAATTATCTCAGTAGGATTCTATTACATTCTTTATTAGGGCTCAACAGGTCCCTAGGATGTCGCATCAACCTCCTGACTGTACGACCCTATTCCTTATCAGATCATCCATACGACCTCGGTAACGAGTCGTAACATTCCCTCTTTTCGACCGAGCTCGGGGACCGATCCGTCTTGCTAGCCTTCGACCTGAGCTGACATATCTCTTAAGTTGTCGCACCGAACTCATTGACAGGGTCAAACCCTACTACCGAGCTAAAAGCTATCCTAGACCGACTGACCAGAGTTGATCACTTTGACCGATTTGATATGGGTGTTATATCATCTAGTCCATATACATAAACGAGCTAGCAGGACTTGTTCAGGAATATTGTAGCATGTTATATTGTCTAGTCCTTATTCCTAAATGTAGTCTGGTCGATTAGGACCGTTGGATCAAGTCGAAACTAACGGACGAGATGGAGAGAGAGTAAACTGCAAAGACAGCGCACTTACAACCGTTGGATTAAATTGAAATCAGACGAGTGACGTCAATGCACCATTTAATGGGTATAATTCACGTGGGCACACTAAAGAATAATCATTATTAGCGACACTACTTTTAGTGACGACATTAATGTCTTGACTATAAAATGATTATTGTGACGACATTCGAACATATAGCGACATTATTAACGACGGTATTTTTTGTGACGACATTCAAACATATAGTGATAGCATGAATGACGCGATTGCGCCAAATGGGATGTTTTGACTGATTTTGATTTGACAATGGCTAAAATTTGAAATTCAAAATTTGAACTCAAGACCTCAGCGGGAGGTAAAAAACATTGTTTCAAAATTAAATAAATGAATCCCTAGTGAGGTGGTCGATTGATGGAGGTGTGAGCTCAATAAGCAAAACCAAAGATAGTTGAATTTACTCTTAGATCGAGTTATCCTAACTCAATCAGAATGGGGAGATATTATATGGAATAACATATCGGGTCACTTGGCCCGAGATATCAGTTAACCGAACTGGTTAAACCGCCAGGTCGATAGGAGGTCGAAGGCCAAAGAAGTTGGAGAGTCGTCAGGTCAAGAGTGACATCGAAGACAATGAAGATCGTCGATAGGTCGAGCTAGGGCATTCGAACGGCTTGGTATAAACTCTACCTGAAGGTATGACGGTCGATGGATCGACCTAGAGGACAACTTACGAGCTTAGCGCATAAGGCCATTTACCTCGAGGTGAATCAGGCAAGTCACACAATTAGACTGTCTAATAAGACAGACTAATGGATAAGAATGTATATAATTAGGATAAGAACTACACGTGGATTGGACTACATGACCCTAAAGAATTGGGCAGTTCGGGTACTCGGGCAGTCCATCCGGGCAGCCTTGGGCAACAAGGTAACATCCCTATATAAAGGGGTGAGATATGTCCATTTACACTCTACACACTGTATATACTTATAGAACTTTGCATACACTGTTCATCTCCTTCTTTATCTGTGGATTGAGTTGATATTCGAAGTGCTAACGTCGGGAACTACTCCGAGACCATTTTGTAGGTCTTCAAACAGGTCAAGAACCAAATCCAGGTCGTGCGAACCTTGTCGAGGTCTATTTCCATACCAGTACCATTGAAATCGAAGATCATAACACAATTGATATTCTTAAAAACATGTCCGAAGATAATATAAAAAAAAACAAAAAAAAGAAAATAACTCCTCTAATAATTATCCAAGGAGAAAAAAAGAAAAAGAAAAAAAGGAAGAAGAATTGATGCATCTGTAATATAAATTAGGTACTTATTTAGTTATTTTACTTTCTTTGCATAAGACTCATTTTATTTTTTTCACCTATTATACATTGAAACATTAATATGTATTTCTATTCCTTTATATTAGGACATCATTATGTTATATTAGGATATCATTATGTTATTTTGTGATAATAAACAATATAGACTCAATTTCATTTTATTTTAATTCATTCTTGCAATGACATATTTACTAAACCTTCGTACTAAAAATTAATTGACCAAATAAATATATTATTACGTGCATTACACGTGTACATACTAATATATGAAAAAAAGAAAGGTAACAAATAAATTCAAAATTATTTAAAAATAAAAAACAAATTTCAATTGTTGAAATTATAATGCTTACTGTCTTGAACTCTTGATAGCATGAACAGCCGAAGTTTACCGACTCAATCGGGCCTATGGCTCATCCCATTAATGGACTTCAATCATCGGCCCTGAGTTTTCAGCTCTAGTATTTTCTTGGCCTCTAGAAATAAGGCCATAAAAATATATCTCGTCAGAAATCGCAACTTCACAATTACATATGAGATTGACGAAGAAAAAAGAAACTAAAATAAGGAAAATAAATTCTTCCCAACTTCCAAGGCAAATCTTTAATTTTTTTTTAATACTTTTTCAATCTCTTTTTCAACAATATTTATTTGAAAAAACATTTGATTTCAAATTGCCTTAAAAATTTAAAACATCGTTTTTTTNTTTTTTTTTTTTTTTTTTTATAAATTTAGTTTTTTCAACCGTGGTTTATCCGATAAATATGGTCAAACTAACTAAAAAACTTGAAAAACCGAGTGTTCAATAATATCTTCTTAATATATTTTATTATTTAACAATATTTTATCTCCATATTTCTAATTTTGTTTAAATCTGTTTGATTTTATTAACTAATTATAATCCTACCCATTTCCCCTACATGTTGTAGCACAAATTATATTTTTACCGAGTATCAAATTGAAGGATCCGTTCCCCGGGTCGATCTCTCAATGAAGGCGGTTCGGAATTTAGCTTCGGTATTGATTTCACACAAAAAGAAAATAAATCCTAAACACTCTAATCAGATAGCAGTTTGAATGAATTATTAACTAAGAAATAAAATAAAACAATAATCTACCAAAAATATAAATGAGACAAAGATGAAGAAGCTAGGGAGTCGGGGATAATTAATTCAAGTTCTTTTCGCAAAACCGGGACATTAATCATTCTATTTCATATTGACACTCTCGTTTAAACATCTAGCGGTTCTCTCCCAATAACTCTTCGTAACAAGGGATTGAACATAGACGAACAAGCTCGAGTATACAACACATGTCAATTATCCCAATCCCAATAACTTTTCGTAACAAGGATCGGGTCATCGACAAGCACGTATTTTAATCCAAAACCTATAGACTATTCAGTTACGAAATCATCTATCTCATGCGAGCCTAGGTCTACGACTTCTTCCCTTTCGGTTCTAAAAGTCGCCAATTCAATTAGAAGGTGTTTAATCAACTAATCATATAGAATCAACAAACCCTAACTCGACAATTTAATATCCAATCGTTACCAGTTGCAAGATCGAAGTGTCACCCTTCGATTATATCAAACTATCAGGCACAAATTCATCAATTCCAAACTAAATCGACTCACATAAGCATGAACAAATCAAAGCCCGACAAATAACATTTAAACAAGAACAATCATCCCCTATCCCTAGCAATAGGAATTAGCTACGCAAATTGAATTCAACACAATAATTCATTTCTCCCAATTCAACCATTATTCATGAATTAAACAAGAGAAAGAAATACTTACAATCAATCCAAATTCACGTGTTGAATCCACTTACAAAGCTTAATCCCTAATTTTTAAAAAGAAGAAGAAAAATGAAAGAGAAAGATAAAAAGAGGAGGAAAATTGAAGAAGAAGAAGAAGAAGAAGAAGAAGAAGAAGAAGAAGAAGAAGAAGAAGGGAAAAAGAAGGAGAAAAGGAGTTGTCGTGTTTTTTTCTCAGGCCTAGGGTTTCACTCCCAGGAGGGGAGATAATTTTAATCGCAATCCCGATCCCATATATATAGCCTAGCAGGTGACACGGCGTGAGGAAATACAACGCGGCGTGAGGTGCGCATGTGTCACGGCGTGGAGGAACCATCGCGGCGCGAAGCGGGCATGTGTGCGGTCTCTGAACGCCCGTGGAGGCACCCGCGACGTGGTACAGGGCTTGGAGTATCAGGTTGCCGCGGCGTGGGGGCGTGCTGGGCAGCTTCTGAGGGCCCGCGAAGGGTTGCCGCGGCGCGGAGGAAGGCAATGCCGCGCCGCTGAGGGTTGCCGCGGCGCGGAGGAAGGCAGTGCCATACCGTTGAGGGTTGCCGCGGCGCGGCGCGCGGGGCTGCTGGCTCGGCTGTGTGACTTTTGCGTTTGGGCTCGTCCGAACTTGGAATTGAGTTCCGTTTTTTCCTACGTGTCGCTAACGAACCCCTTTATTCAATCATGCTTTCATGACCAGATTTTGCCAATAATACAATCCTCTAGAGTTTTCCAACCTTCAAACAGTCGGCAGCTTGCTGGACTTTACGTTTCGACCCCGTTCGGATTCGTTTGAACTCGGAATTGAGTTCCGTTTTTTTCTGTGTGACGCCGACGAACTCTTCTATCTACTTATGCTTGCCCGACTGACTTTTGCCAAAAATTCGATCTTCCCGAAGCTTTCGACCTACACACCATAAACGAAGAAAAATTGAAAAAACGTACGGAAAACACAAGAAAAACCAAGATAGAGTAAAACACGCGATAAACTACAAAACGAGATAAAAAATAATTAAAAGACCTAATATGGGGAAAAAAAAAGAAAAAATAACAAGGAAAAATGCAAGAAAAATGGGACAAACAACTCCCCCACACTTAAACATTTGTTCGTCCCGAACAAAAAGAAAAGAAAACAAGACATGAGCATGCATACAGTTTCAAATAAGAAGAGTTTCAAAATGTCCAATTCAACCAGGTCAAATTCCAACGACCGTGAAACCATATGCCTCAAATATAAACTTGATCTCGAAATGACAAACTCTTAAATACAGAAATATAAGTACATGCCTCACTCATTCTTTTATATGATAGGATCGCTCAGATTGGTCAATATTCTTGTTTCAACATATGCTTGCCAATCGGCTACATTACTCGAAAATAATCAAAGTTCAAAACTTGCGAATCAAGAAGACTTCACGGTTTGTAATGTGGTTTAGGTAAAGGTATGAATATATAAGGACAAGAAGCTCAAATAGACAATCAAGGTTCTAGAGTATACTCAAGCATTCCGCTACTCATCCCGAATCAACAAGGCAAAACACATACTACCCAACCAACATTCCACAAACAACACATAGATGCTCAGAACAAGTTGCAACATCATCACTGAACCTGATTAATATAGGTCAAACAATAGAAATCCAACTCCAATTCACCTCATTCAACAACGACACCATTTTCACCAATCATCACAAAATCAGTCAACAAAATACATTATATGCATAGCTGACAAGAAAAGGCTCAAGGCTCAAACGGGCTACTAGGGATAAAAGCGTTTAGGTTTAAAGAACAAGGCTAAAGAGAGCTAATCAAACAAAACGCCTCAATCACTTTCGCAATTTCAAACTCTAATCGATTCCTTTCAAACAAACTCAAGGCAAGTTCTAATCATTCAAGAATATGACCAATATACAAGAAAGAAGAGTAAGGATCAAAACCTCAGAAAGGAAATATATGTGACTCAAAGCAATCAAACATATACCGAGACAATAAAATTGAAGAAATAATAATGACCACAAGGCATACAAGATTTCAGCGAACTTACTTGAAATTTTTTATATATATTTTATGATATGGGTTTTAACTTGTAACTATATTTTTTAATAATATAAAAGTGGTTATATAATTTGAAACTATCATATAAATAATTTAAAAGGATAATTTAGATAGTCGTTTGTCGAGTCACTATGCAAATTATTGGTTTGAGAATAGAAATCATAATTTTCACAACATGTACTTCTTTATTAGAAAAAATGTTAAAAATATAATAGAGTTTTAATGGGTATGAGTCTCAAAAGATAGGATCAAGTATCAATTTAGGGAAAAATGCTACCATCCCGTAACGAGACCATTCCCCTACTTTAAACTCCAATAAGAACTTGCCACATCACCTATGATTATTTGCATCTAAGAGTCCAAATCAAAACTAGAAAATCTAATGGTTTGTATTGATTTGAGGGAATCATTCCCCCAGGGGACTGTAGCATTCCCCCAATTTAGGACCTAAAAGATAAATTATTTCAGTTCGAGACTAGAACGACATGAAACTACCAATTTTCGGCCTGAAAGATTATACTTATCGATTCAAACTTTGATAGTTTCAGATCTTTGGGTCCTTAATAGAATTCATCTTCAAGTTCTGGACTTAAACTGATAAACTGTCTCTCTCTCTCTTTCTCTCTCTCTCTCTCTCTATATATATATATAATTACTAGCTGATGCATTTAATAAAACATTTAATAAAACCTATTTTCATTTTCCTCTAAAAGGAGTTACATTTTTTTTAGTTAATTAGTCACTAATCTGCTAAAACCGTTACACCTTAATATATATATTTTTATTATTTATTTTGGAGGATCGGTTACTAAATTAATTCTAAATTTGGTAGCAAAATATTTAAATGTATAATGGCTAATGTTGGAACTTAAAGTTGATTGACACATTCAGAGCCGTGACCTCTATATTTGGTTGCATTGTTGGAAGAAAAATATGATTAACACATATTTTTTTTTTCTTTCTAAAAATCAGAAACACCAATAATTTTTGTATTTATGTTAATTTTCTTAATATATGCCGCAAATATATAAAATTATTTTATTCATGTTACTAATGTAAACGTTGCATGGTTAAAATAAAATTTAAATCTTAATTAATTTTGAATGATAAAAATAACTTAAGAAAAAGTAATAATTTTTATATGATAGAAGTACATGTCTAATTAATAAATACAAACAAAAACGTGTTTTATATCTGTACAAATACACATGATCAAATACTAGTTAATAAGTAATAGATAAAATAAATAATTACACATTAAATATGATATTAATTTATATTATAAATTAGTGTATAGCACGATACATGTGGTAATTTATGATATATTAATCTATTAATAATCACATAGTTGATGGATATATTAACGAGTGGACTCACAGTAAGAATGACATACTTACACTTTTGGCATGTGCAATCTTCCTACACGATCTTAATTAATCATTTGGATGAAGAAGTGAGAAAAAGCCTTTATTATGTCATAATTTTACTACGATTTTGTATGCACTTATCGACAAAAAAATGTAATTTGATGCCCTTATACCACAAGTTCCAAACCATTACGTTTCTTCCCAACAATGCTTTTGCTCTCCTCCCATTCAAAATCCTATTTATACCAGCACTTCAGTAATATAGCATATCCAATAATTTAATTTAAACTGGCTTATTTTGATTAACACGAGCTAAGAGCATCTTTAGTAACAGGTTTTCAAGAGGTTTGAATATGTAAACTTGTGAGGTTTGCTATTATTTGGGAGAGGTTTGAGGTTTGAGTTTACAAATCAGGTTTACAAAACCAAACCTTCCACAAACCTCACTAAAAAAAGAAACGAAAAATAAATTACATATGTGAACCTGGTTTGTAAACTCAAACCTCACTAAAAAAAGAAACGAAAAATAAATTACATATGTGAAAGTGAAGCAGTGAATTGCACGGGCTTATTCTAGGATTATTTGAAGCACGCGCGTGGAGGGAAATTGACAAAAATAGCGTGAGAGGTGGCCCATCACCACTGACACCCCACTTGCACATCATTTGCATTCTCATTTAATATTAATTTTTTTTATCTNATATTATATATATACATATATATATTTATGATAAATGTATAAAATATTTATATGAATAAAAATAATTAATAATATTTATTTGTGTGAATACAAATATGAAAGTGTAATTTTATTTGTACTCAAAATTTAATTTTCAACATTATTTAAGTTCTATGTTTCGTAATTTTTAGAAGTAAAACTATACATTCGTACGTACTTAACACTATACAATTATAAATACTGCAATACAATTATATAGAATTATTATTTTTTTAGATATATTTTTTATAAATATATGAAATATTTACATTTAATAAAAATAAAAAGTAGAGTTATAATTTTTAGATATACTTTTGAAAATATATGAATTAATGCAAATTTACACACTAGACCATATATGGTTTAGAGCATATATTCATATTTTAAAAATGATTGTAATAAATTGAATTTCTTAAAGAAGATACATATACATCTATGTACCGATTGAATCAAAACTGAGGTTATTTGATTTAAAATAAATGGAGTTACTCGACAGCCCGAAAAAAATATGTAAAGCAATTAATTGAAATAAGAACGAGTTGTGGTTGTTGTCGAAAAATAACAATTTAAAACGAGCTATTTTCGAACAAGAAGGAACACTAATAAACTTTGCTAGTAAAGAAATAAGTAAATCAAGGCTGTTTGACTTAAAATAAATGGAGTTATTCGACAGCCCGAAAAAAATATCTTTTCCAAATTAATTGAAATATATGAATTAGTGCAAATTTACACACTAGACCATATATGGTTTAGAGAATATATTCACATTTTAAGAATGATTGTAATAAATTGAATTTCTTAAAGAAGATACATATACATCTATGTACCGATTGAATCAAAACTGAGGTTATTTGATTTAAAATAAATGGAGTTACTCGACAGCCCGAAAAAAAATATGTAAAACAATTAATTGAAATAAGAACGAGTTGTGGTTGTTGTCGAAAAATAACAATTTACAACGAGCTATTTTCGAACAAGAAGGAACACTAATAAACTTTGCTAGTAAAGAAATAAGTAAATCAAGGTTGTTTGACTTAAAATAAATGGAGTTACTCGACAGCCCGAAAAAAATATCTAAAGAAATTAATTGAAATATTTATATTTAATAAATAAAGTAAGAGTTATAGTTTTAAAATATAAATAAAAATATATGAGTATAATATTAATTAAAAGTAAGTGGGAAACATGTGGAACCCATGAAAAATGAGGTTTATGGGGTTTATTGTTATTGGAGGTTTATGGATATAGGAGTAAGGATGAGGTTTTTGATCACGTGGCATATTGGAAAGTGTAAAAGTAAGATTTATGGAGGTTTATGGGTTTTTTTTTTTTTTACTAAAGATGCTCTATTCATTCAAACTCCAAATCTTAAGCAATCTGTACGGCCCATCTCTCTCTCTCTCTCTCTCACACACACACCCCACTTTACTCTTTCAAAGCAACCATCTGTTCCTCCATTTCTAGCTTAGCCCATCTGCAGAAAATATCGTAAGGGTCTTCATTATCTGTCTAATTTTGTTGCAATATAAATATAAGCTTGTGGGCCGTTCTTCTTTTTCTTCAGATAGAATAGGAAATTGTTTCTTGCTTGGACAACAACATTTTGATTAATTCTAGTTGTTTCTGGGTTCTTTCTTGAAAAGACTGAATCTTTGTGGGGCAAAGACCAAGATTTGCATTTTCCGTTTATAGGGTGATCCGATCTTTAGCGAAATTGTTGCTGGGAGGTAAATTTTGAAGTTGTGTATGTTGTTGGGTATTTACTATTTACCTCTGAGTTATTCATTTCGAGCTTTACCTATTTGTTCGTCATTTTTGGTTCTCCCCTTTGATTTCCCATCTGGGCTTGTTCATTTACGGTTCCTTGAGAAACCTTAGTTATCATCCTCTCAAATATATAAAAGGGACCCATAGAGGAGAAGCTGTTTGATTTGTCGGTGGAGATATGGGAACCGAGTATTCGTAGCTCTATTTAGATACCCTTTATGCATCTTTCGTTGAGATAAAGGAGTTTTTTTTTTTTGATACTCAGGGTAAAGCTCTTAGCTCTCTGCTTTTCTTTTGCCTTTCTGTAGTCTAGCTTTAGAAAGCAAATGACAATGAGGAAAAATTTAAACCTTTACTCCGGAAGAATATTCACAGACCGGAGGTGGAAAATACCGTGTTTTGTGAGTTTGCTTGTCTCGAACACACTAATTACCGCCATTATTTTCGGGTTGCACGTGTCCCCTTACGCCCGAGACCCACCCCAATTCGATAATGCACCCTTTGTCCGTCAAAACAACTCGGGAGCCTATTTTGTAGAAACCGACTTGAGAAAATCGTTAAAATCAGTCGAGGCCTCGGAATTAGAGCCCCCGAGGCTTGCTTATTTAATTTCGGGCACAAAAGGGGACAGCAGAAGGATGATGAGGACTTTGCAGGCTGTATATCACCCGAGAAATCGGTACATTCTCCACATGGACCTCGAGGCCCCACCAAGAGAGAGGCTGAAATTAACCATGTGGGTGAAGAATGACCCGACTTTTAACAAGGTGGGGAATGTGTGTGTGATGGCTCAGTCAAATTTGGTGACGTACAAGGGGCCCACGATGATCGCTTGTACACTCCAAGCTATAGCGATTTTGTTAAGAGAGAGCTCTAGCTGGGATTGGTTTATTAATTTAAGTGCTTCTGATTATCCACTCGTGACTCAGGATGGTGAGTTGTTTGCCTCTTCCTGTGTGCTTTTGTAGCATTGCTATTTTACTCAGTTTTGTGTTTTGCTTATGCATGTTTCGTGTTATAGTCTTTACAGAAAAAGTATCTGTTCATGAAGTTTTAGTTTTATTTTATACTGTTTGTGTGCCTTTTTGCTCCGTCGGTAGTCACTTGTAAGGGCCTGAAATTTGTGTGCTTTTATAGCTTTTGGTTTCCTGTGTGTATTATGAAATTCTTGTTTTAAATACCAGCATCATTCCGTGAATGATATATCAAGGTTATTTATTTATTTATTTATTATGATGTTAGAAGGCACGGAGAATGTAACTCTGAAAATCAGATTCTGGAAGATAATAATATTAGCTTGATGAGCCAGATGTGCCAGAGTTTGCAACATGGCCCATGAATTTAGTTTGGGCAAACATGAATGTTGTCTCATAAGCAATTGGAAATCTTTCAGGTTCATACTAACACTTAGTCCTCAAAATTGGAGTTGTGTTTCAAGCTATGCTAATTATTTGTTACTGTTGCAGTATTTGATCCAATGGTGGTAGTTTTAGTGAATATTATGAGTTTGATAAATTAAATTTTGGTGAATTTCTCTATTTAGGGTTGAGTACATTGTGCTTCCTGTTTCTTGTAATTAATTGTCTTCATGAGTACTGCAGATTTATTCTCATAGCTCCATTCTTGGTCCTCGGATAATGAACCTGTGTTTATTTTTCTTGCAGATCTGCTATATGTTTTGTCCAATGTGTCACGAAATATCAATTTTATCGAGCATGCACAGATAGATGGATGGAAACTGTATGTACCTACTCTGAAAACATTTACATTGATAGATTTGATCCAGCAAATAGATTTCATTTTACCATTTGAGTTTCTGATTATTTTTTTGTTCAATCAGAAACCAGAGAGCAAACTCTATTATAATCGATCCAGGTCTCTACTTGTCAAGAAAATCTGATCTTGCTTGGACTACTCAACGCCGATCTGTACCCACAGCTTTCAAGTTGTTTACTGGTGAGTCTGTTATTCCTATTTACATCAGCTTCAATCAATGTATATATTATGCATGGGAATCCTTCTAATGATATTAGTCCTTGAAACAATCTGAAGAGTATCATCACCTAAAGACCGAATCAGCTTTTGCTGGTAAATTATTGTTTCATCTCTATCTCTATCTCTACTAACATAGAAGTGTGAATGTTTTTGTAAAAATTTAGATAGACCAAATTACCCTTACTCTTGTAATGTTTTAATGGCTTTATTGTCATTTGTTAAGAGTCCATTTAATGAGAGGGGGAGTAGTAATTAGTGTTCTTCATTTTAATTTTTTAATTGCTTAATTGTCATTTGTTAGGAGTCCATTTAATGAGAGGTAGTAGTAATTGTTCCTTAATTATATAAACATTTCTTTTCGTTTTATATTTTGGGTAATTTTTTTATCCATTTTTAGTTTAGTGGATATTTTATTTTGGTTAATAGATGCAATTTTTTGATTAGTTTCGGGTTTTGGATGTCAATTTATATAATACACTTATGATTTATTAAGCAACCCATTAGTTCTTCATTTCAATGTCCTGTAATTGGTTTTTGAAATAGCTGTTGATCTCTTTTTTTATATTTCTATTTTTTCAACTTAATGTATTTCAAACTAATGCAGGGAAAATGAACTAGCATGTGGTATTTCATGTTAAATAAATTTTTAAGAAACTAACTTCACACACATTTTTTATTTATCTTTTCATTGTGTTACCCACTATGAGAGTTCAATAATAAGTCACCATGTTACATATTAAGATTTATTTGGAGTAAATAATAATTTTTCTCATTCTATTTTCTTACTTTTTTTTTATATATGTATCTATATAAATATATTAAGATAATATACATAAATTATTACGTAAATTTAGTTTAATTTTTAATGTGTTGTGTTAGAAAAATAATTTCATATAACTATGGATTTTTTTTTATGTAGATTGGCCAAATTAAGTACATAAAATATGAAACAAAACATAAACTTGAAACATTAGGAATACTAAAAATAATTAAAGGGAATAGATCTGTTGCACATGTTTATCACATTACAAAAGTATTTGCTTCAATATAAATGTATCTTAATTTTTGTATAATGTCATATTATAACTTAATCATCTATAGAAGACAACTATTTGACCAAATTAATTAGTCGTAACATTTTCAAATATAATGACATTAATGATTTGTAAAATAATGAAATCTTTACATATATGTATGTTTGTTTTCATTTTATATTTTGTGTTTTTTTTTTTTTTTTTAGTTTAGTGGATATTTTATTTTGGTTAATGGATGCAATTTTTTTATTAGTTTTGGGTTTTGGATGTCAACTTATATAATACGCTTATGATTTAATAAGCGACCCATTAGTTCTTCATTTAAATGTCATGTAATTAGTGATTGAAATAGTTGTTGATCTCTTTTTTCATATTTCTATTTTTTCAACATAATGTTTTTTCACACTAATGCGACAAAGATGACCTAACATGTGGTATTTCATCTATATATATATAATTGCTAGCTAAGTAATAAATTTTACCTAATAAATAAAACCTAATAAATTTTACCTATGTGGCAAATCATTAAAAAAACCTAATAAATAGAACCTAATAAATTTTATTTATGTGGCATTAATACACCCAATCTCATTAATAAGAAAATATTTCATTACAATTTTTTGAGTTAATTAAGACAAAAATCATTATATTTTATGTTAATTTATTAATAATTATATTTTTTATTGAATAATATAATAGTTAATATTAAAATTAGTAATTATATTTTATACTAAATAATATATGAAAGTTACATAAAATTATATTTTACACTAAAATCAATATTTTTTTATATGATGAAAATGTTGTTTATTAATAAATTAATTTCTTTTTATGTCATAGTAAAATTTCTTAAAATTACATAAGCAATTGTTACAATAAATGTAATATTTTTAAGCTAATTAATTGATCATGATCACTCAAAATTATAAAAAGTATATATTTATTACATTTTATGCAATCGTGATTCGTCGTGTGTACTATTTATTTTAACCAATGATCAAATTTTAAAATATAATACTATTATATAATTTATAATTTTAATATTATATACATAAATATAACTTATAATACTATATGTTTGAAATATAATACAATTATATAACTTATAATTTTTGTATTATATACATAAATATAATTTAAAATATTTAATTTTATTTACATCTGTGCAAATGCACAAGGTCGAATACTAGTGTTAAATAGTTATTTAAGAAACTAACTTCACACACATTTTTTATTTATGTTTTTATTATGTTACCCACTATGAGGGTTCAATCATATGTCACCATGTTACATATTTAAGATTTATTTGGAGTAAATAACAATTTCGCTTATTCTATTTTCTTATTTTTTTTTTTATATATGTATCTATATAAATAAAGTTAGAGAATATACATAAATTATTATGTAAATTTATTTTAATTTTTAAATTTTAATGCCTTGTGTTTGAATAATAATTTTAATGCCTGCACTAACAAGTTTATGATGTATATTTTATGTAGATTGACCAAATTAAGTACATAAAATATAAATCATAAACTTGAAACATTAGAAATACTAAAACAATTTAAAGGGCAAAGATCTATAGTACATGTCTATTACATTACAAAATTATTTGCTTCTATATAAAAATGTATCTTAATTTTTGTATAATGTCATATTTATAATTTAATCATCCACAAGACAATTATTTTACCAAATTAATTAGTCATAAGCATTTTCAAACATAATGACATTAATGGATTGTAAAATTATGAAAACATTAAATTGTGTATTATGAATATTTTTGTATTTTGTATTTTTTTTTTTTTTTGCATTAATATATCCCTTCCATATAGAATAATTGGTGTACTATTCAGCAATTTACTACACAAAATTTAATATGAAATAAACAAAATTGAGGGTAATAGTTGGTATCATTTGATGCAAGCCAAATGATGCACGATAAGTAAATTGAAGAGAGACAAATAAACGAACTATCCACGTTTTTTTCTCACATTTAATCAAACTTATTTTATCTATAATTTTGTAAGAATGAGATGACATTTCTAATTTCCATTTTTAGGTATCAACGTGGACAACTGTTAAATCATAATTCTCAATCACAAATAAACATTCTTTATGAAGACAATCACACTTTATTGTGACTTTTTCGGTAATAACATTCATTATTTAATTTATAAATTAAATATAAGAATTTCATCCATATAAAAATTTTTATACTTATCCTTACGTTAATATGTCCAAATTCATTATACTTTTACAGTATGCAAATATTTTGTATCAAGTTTAGTACTTATTCTACTCTTAGATAAAAGTGAATATACCTAATTCATATCGTTTATATTTAATTGTTTAATATGAGATAGATTAAGATGATTAATAAGTAACATGTTAATGACGATAGGTAAAAAATTTAAATTTAAATTATAATATAAATGCTAATAGATATAACCCATTGTTCTATTAGTGTTACGATAACTTCTTAGGCAAAAGAAACTTTACCATATCCATATTATCATATCATTTTCAATTAAAATTTAAACTTCATGATTTTTTGACAATGTGTTAGTGCAAATGAAATTATTCCACATTATGTTAGTCTTTGTGTACGTGTCTTCAAATTTTATTGAATTTTACTTGAAATATTTGTTTACTTAGCATTAAATTGATTGTTTCAGACTTCCAAAATGAATATTTGTTGAGTTTTTTAGGGACGATTGGATATGAATCCAACCAGTGTTGACCAATTTTGTTTGGCTAAAATTAGTTAAAGTGAGTTAGTTTGAATAAAGTATAACAAGTGGATGATTTTGAGTTTGAAATCAAATAATATTTAAATATAATGATTAAATTGATGTGATGTAAAAGTAGGAGAGAGATTATTGAAAGTGATAGGTAGTTAAAATTATGTTAGTAGATGAATTGTAATAAATAAAAATTGATGTGATGTATGAGAATAATTATTTATATTTATAAAAAGTAGGAGAGTTAATTTGAGTTAGATGATTGGATATGAAATAACTCAACCGATTATAACCGATTAAGACTGGTTATAACTTATATATAATCACGTCCTTGGCAATTTATTTCTCATAATAAATATAATAAATATATATGTATGATCCTAACCATTTTTGACACACACACACATATACTTATATTTAACTTATCGTAAATAATATATTTTTGTCAAATCAACTTAAAGACATGCAAATTCAATTAGACAAATTATATGGTTCACGTGACCTTACTAGTGTTTTAAAATTTCCCATTAATTTTTTTTTTCACTTTACGTTAGGCTCTGCTTGGGTAGTTCTGACCCGTTCATTCGTGGAGTACTGCATATGGGGCTGGGATAGCCTTCCCCGCACGGCCTTAATGTACTACACCAACTTTGTCTCATCTCCCGAAGGCTACTTTCACACAGTCATCTGCAACACTCCCGATTTTCGGCCCACGGCTATCAACCACGACCTTCACTACATTGCCTGGGACAATCCTCCAAAGCAGCACCCGAGATCCCTCTCGGTCAAAGACTTTGACCACATGGTCAACAGCAGCTCGGCTTTCGCCCGGAAGTTCCATGCGGATGACCCAGTCCTCGAGAGGATCGACCGGGAGCTGCTCGGGAGGCCAGCTGGCGGGTTTTCCTCCGGGGCGTGGTGCGTGGGGAGCGAAGCTGACCCGTGTGGGTCGATTGGGGATGACTTTGTTTTGAGACCCGGCCCTGGGGCCCGGAGGCTGGCTGGGCTTGTTAAGGGGCTGCTGTCTGAGGATTACCGGCGTAAGCAGTGCCCGGGATTGTAGTGCTGATGATAGGTAGAGGTTTTTGGAAAGTGTTGAAGTGTACATTAAATTTGTTCATAGAATATATGTGCACAAGAAGCAGAATTTTGGCCTTTTCTGGTTTAAGGGAAATGGATTTCATGTTTTGGGTTAACTTTGCCAGTGCAGTGGAAATTGAATAGTGAATTTGATAAAAATTTGAAATCAGTGTTTTGAATNTCACTGCTTTATTGATAATAGGTCAATTGTAGAAGACTTCAAAGGCTGGTGGTTGTAAGTGTGCTCCTGGGAAAAGAGGCATGATTCAACTTATAATATATATTCTCTGGTTTGCTGTGGAAAGCAAGGAATCTATGGGTGTCTCAACATAATTCGAAACCGGAGAAATCAATCGTTGATTCGGGTGTGAAGGAATGGAGTGAGTTCATCACTGACCTTTTGTTCGTACTTTTTATATCTAGCTAGGTTCTTAGTAGCTCGATAGTCTTCTTTTGGTGTATTACCCAGTTTTGGGAACTTTTGATAGGCCAAGTTATGGTTCTAGTGAGGTTTTACTCCCCAATGGTTAAGGTATTAGCTTGTTGGAGATTCTTGTCCTTTCTACTAGACCACCTGCATGCAGACATGTTCATCGGACCAGATCCGTTGACCAGGGTTCCAGGTCAAAATGGGAACCGGGCCTGTGTATTATTCAGGCCGGTTTCGGTTCAAGCCTATAAGACATTTTGACTTGGAGGGTCCGGAACAGATCTGACACGCAGTGTTAGGTGCCGAAAACATAGTTTTCCAACCCGGACCGGCGCCGACGAGTCGACCTGGAGCCGGAACCGGTCTGGGTGGGCTATTCGGACCGGGCAACAAAGAACCCGGTCAAACCCGGTCGACCCGGGGCATTGACCCAGCCGGGTCTACCCAGTTAACCTGGCCCCTAAATATATATATTTTTTATATTTTTTTAATTTTTTTAAAATATTTTTTGTTTTTAAAATATGGTAAATATTTATCATGAGATACATATTATTAATACTTTAATGTACAAATTTTATATACAAAAACAAAATATTTTAGTTTGTTACTTTTAGGTATATTTATATGATTAAGTACTCTATATACAATATTAAAAATTTCAAAATTAATTATCCGGTGACCCGAGGGTTGAACCCGGAGATCTGCCCGGATCAATTCCTGGGCCGGGTTTAAAAACTATGGCCGGAAATTTGAAAAATTCAAAATTTGAATATCTAATACGGTTTTGGTTCCGACTTAGAACTAATGGGTCGGCGTGAACTTTTTTATTAAAGAATTATACCTGGACCCGCCGGGTCTGCAAACCAGGACCTACGAGTTCTTAACCTGAAGCTTCCTTACCTCTGAATAGGTTTTGGAAGACAATTTTATAAACCGTCGAACCGTAGGGTCGGGTCCTCTAACCATGTTTACCTGCGTGTAGTGTTGGTAAATTAAACGCATCTGATTCAACTTGTCTCATTAAAGCTCGAGTTTGGCTCGGCTCGATAAAGCTCGTTAAGTTTTGAAAAAAGATTTTTTATATAATTTTTTATTGTTCGATTCAGTGATAAATGAGCCGAACTCGAACTCGGCTCATCAAAGGCTCGAGCTCGGCTCCTTTATAGCCCTACCTGTGTGTGGTTTTCTATTCTAGATGTGGCAAGTTTTAGCTAGCTAGCCATCGGAGTAAGAGATCTATCTATCATTTAGAAGAAAAATATGATAGGAAAGTTGTTGTTGTGGGATTCATAATCATGGAAACAAAAAAATATGGACTTATGCACATATATGTAAGATACAATAAGCATACACTCACATAAGTGGAGGAGTCCATATCAGGATAGAATATTCAAATAATTCCCATAGATGTACACTTTTATGTACAAAAAATTATCATTTACATCAAGTAAATGAAAATCTCTATTTTTAGAGTATAACAACGCAAGAATTTAGCTGCCACATTCTGTGATTTGGACCGAGTAAAACAAAAGCCCTATTCATTTGCAAAGCCCGACCCAAATGCTATTTTTTTTTTAAAAAAAAAAAGAAAAATAGCAATTAATATTTATCAAAAATCACCTCGGCTTTGTACTCCTGTTCACAATCGATCATGCACGCTTTGGACGCTCACGTACAACCCACTGAACGGATCTTCGAGCTTCCCAAAAACATCTAACTTTGCCGGAATAATTCGTTCTCAATTGTTATCAGAAAAATGTCCATCCTCAATTCCTAGGTAAAGACCAAGCGATTAACACAGTAAAGAGAATTTTTCACAATGTACGGCGGTGGATACGAATATGGAGCCCCGGACCCGTACCATGACCCGGACAGCAGAGCTGCTGACGTGGACATCGACAATGACGAGGATGAATCGGATGAGATCACTCAGGAGGACGCGTGGACAGTGATCAGCTCGTATTTCGAGGAGAAGGGCCTCGTGAGGCAGCAATTGGATTCCTTTGACGAGTTCATTCAGAACACGATGCAGGAGATTGTCGATGAGTCAGCCAATATCGAGATCCGACCCGAAGCTCAGCACAATCCGGGCCGGAGCTCCGATTCCGTCGAGGTTCCATTCAAAGAAATTTTAGAATGAATTAAAAGATTGGGAAGAAACAGAGTGTAGTTGCTATTATTTATTTGATCACTAGCTTTTTTTCTTTTCTGTTCAGACAGTCTACAGGATTAGCTTTGGGCAGATATACCTGAGTAAACCCATGATGACAGAGTCTGACGGTGAGACGAACACACTGTACCCAAAAGCCGCGCGGCTGAGGAATCTAACTTATTCCTCACCGCTTTACGTGGATGTCATAAAACGAGTCGTAAAGAAAGGTTACGATTGTGAGGAGGTCATTGAGACTCAAGAATTCCCTAAAGTTTTCATTGGGAAGGTACTTTTTTTAAGTTTTAATTAAAGGTAATTTTAGTAACTATGAACAGTATCTTCTAATGTGTTAAAACAATCTTTTGTAGGTTCCGATAATACTACGTTCGAGCTATTGTAGCTTGTTCAGTCTTCCGGAGAAAGACTTGATGGAGATTGGGGAATGCCCTTACGATCAAGGCGGATATTTTATTATAAACGGGAGTGAGAAAGTGCTGATTGCTCAGGAGAAAATGAGCACCAATCACGTGTATGTTTTCAAGAAGCGGCAGCCGAACAAATACGCCTACGTGGCGGAGGTTAGGTCGATAGCCGAGTCACAGAACCGCCCAGCGGCATGTTTGTTCGCATGTTGTCCAGGCCCGGCGCAAAAGGGGTGATTTAGAAATTAAAATTTTGATGAATGTATATATATATATATATATATATATTTACCACATTGAAAGTTTGATGAATTATTGATTTGAGATTATATGCAGGGATCATCAGGGCAGTACATACGAGCTACCCTTCCGTACATCAGAACCGAAATTCCGATCATTATTGTTTTCCGAGCTTTAGGATTACAAGCGGATAAAGATATTCTTGAACGCATATGCTACGATTTTAACGACGTGCAAATGTTGGAGTTGCTGAGGCCTTCCTTGGAGGAAGCATTTGTGATACAAAATCAACAGGCATATATATATCGACATATATGTTCTGTGTAGTTTACAGTCTCAAATTTTTTATATTTTATACTGAGCTGACATTTTGAAGTGTGTTTATGAATAGGTTGCGCTCGACTATATTGGCAAGAGAGGATCGACTGTTGGTGTCACAAGAGACAAAAGAATCAAGTAAAAAGATGAAACTGATTCATTGCTTTTCTCATGTGTTTACTATGTTTTGCTCTCGAGTGCAAAAAAAATAATAATAAAAAAAGAATAGAGATATTTCTTTTTTACTCGTATACTTAACAGGTACGCAAAAGAAATACTCCAAAGAGAGATGCTTCCGCATGTTAGTACCGAAGAAAACTGTGAATCCAAGAAAGCTTATTATTTCGGGTTAGTTTTTTGTCTGTCAAGGTCCTTAACATATGTATCGTGAGCTTCTTCCGGCAATAAATTAATATTAATTTTGGTTTTCGGCAGATACGTTATCCATAGGCTGTTAATATGTGCACTTGGAAGGAGACCCGAAGATGATCGAGATCACTATGCGAACAAGAGGCTTGATCTTGCTGGTCCATTGTTAGGGGGTTTATTTCGAATGGTGTGAAGATAATATATATTTTAGAGAGAGAAATATTCAGTATTATTTGAAGGAGAATATAATCTTGATATTCTTTATGTCATGTGCAGTTATTCAGAAAGTTAACCAGGGATGTCGGGTCGTATGTTCAAAAGGTTCTATTCATTTGAAGATATGGTACTTGCTGTAACATCTGAGGTTCCAATAATTTATAGTCGAACGGTTTCTTTTTTTTTTTTTTTTTTNTGAATGGAGCAGTGTGTTGATACTGGGAAGGACGTAAATTTGCAATTTGCAATTAAGGCAAAAACTGTCACGAGCGGACTCAAGTACTCTCTTGCTACCGGAAATTGGGGCCAAGCAAATGCAGCGGGGACCAGAGCAGGAGTTTCTCAGGTCGAGTACTTTTCATATAATAGTTATTCGTGGAGTTAAATGCCATTAGCATCTTTTTTATGATTTTATTTCATTTTTGCAACTAGGTGCTCAATCGTTTAACATATGCTTCAACACTTTCGCACCTGAGGAGACTAAACTCTCCCATTGGCCGTGAAGGCAAACATTACTTAATCTTACATTGTCATTTTTCTCTGAGTTCACGTTATCTTTATTTATTTTTGTCTGTAACGAGTCTCATTTCTGTTTCGTTAGGTAAATTGGCTAAGCCTAGACAGCTGCACAATTCGCACTGGGGAATGATGTGCCCTGCAGAAACACCCGAAGGCCAAGTAAATATTTATCACTATTCGCTGTAAAATCCCATGATTATGATTTATGTCCATTATATTACCAAATCCTTTGATTTCATATGTTTGACCAGGCATGCGGATTGGTCAAGAATCTAGCACTTATGGTGTACATAACAGTAGGATCAGCAGCAAATCCCATTCTCGAGTTTCTTGAAGAGTGGACAACTGAGAGTTTTGAGGTTAAGTTTAATACTTTTGGTGGCATTCGTATTTACATATCCCCTCCAAACCTCTATGCATGACATTTTTTTTTTTTTTTCGTATAAAAGGAAATATCGCCAGCTGTAATTCCTCAATCCACGAAGGTATTCGTGAACGGTACCTGGATTGGGATCCACCGCAACCCGGAGCTATTAGTCAGGACTCTCAGACAACTAAGAAGACGGGTCCATATATCTAACATTATCCTTAAATTTGGAAATTTTACGGTTATTAGATTTGATAGTGTGTTTGAACTCATGACAGGTTGATGTGAACACTGAAGTCGGTATTATCCGTGATATACGTCTCAAAGAGCTTCGGCTGTACACAGACTATGGAAGGTGCAGCCGGCCATTGTTCATCGTCGAGAAACAAAAGCTGCTTATCAAAAAGAATGATATTCTCGCTCTCCAGCAGAGAGTATTCGCAATAAAATTTTGCGTTCTTTAGTTTTATTATGTTATGTTTGTTTTGCGCTACTATTTGATGCTGGTGCTGTTCTTTTGCAGGAATCTCTTGAGGAATACGGTTGGCATGATTTGATCAGAAAAGGGTTTATCGAATATGTCGACACAGAAGAAGAGGAGACCACCATGATATCAATGACAATAAATGTAATTTAGCCTATAAGCAAAGTTTATATCTTTTATATATAAGGAGTATACTTGCAAACATTAATTAAATTATAAAAAAAATTTTGCCACAGTCTCATGTTAATAAATTTTTCAGGACCTTATGAATTCGAGGCGAAATCCGGATGATGCATACTCTGAAACATTTACGCACTGCGAAATTCATCCTTCGCTGATCTTAGGTGTTTGTGCTTCAATCATTCCTTTTCCTGATCACAATCAGGTATTTTGCTTGCTATGATTTCTAGTTTCTAGTTTACTTATATTTAGTCAAATGCAAGAAAAATACTTTACGCATTTCTCATCATTCGTGCAGTCTCCTCGTAACACGTATCAGTCTGCAATGGGAAAGCAGGCAATGGGAATATACGTTACCAATTACCAGCTACGGATGGTTAGGACCAAATTCTTGAGCATGACTCGTCATGTTTCATGTGATTTAACTCATGAAAAAAGAAATTTCATCCTGAATTTACCTTTATTTTGGTTGAAAACAGGATACATTGGCCTATGTGCTTTACTATCCTCAGAAGCCCCTCGTCACTACTCGTGCGATGGAGCATTTACATTTCAGACAGCTTCCCGCTGGCATTGTAAGAATTTGTTTCATGAATCTCTTTCAGTTTTTTTCTTTTTTTTTTTTAAAGATAAGTTTTCAAGTCCAGAAATCATACTAATTGTCCTGTTTTTTATGCAAGAATGCCATAGTTGCAATTGCATGCTATTCTGGATATAACCAAGAAGATTCTGTAATCATGAACCAATCTTCTATCGACCGCGGATTCTTTCGTTCTTTATTCTTCCGTTCGTATCGGTAATATTTTATCCTACACTTCTCCTCGATAAAATCCAACTTACGCTATTTCGTGGTCTATGCACTTCCACTTGCTCCATAAACTTCTTCTTCTTCTTCTTTAGGGACGAAGAGAAGAAGATGGGGACACTAGTAAAAGAGGATTTCGGTCGTCCGAGTAGGGAAAGCACACTGGTTAGCCGTTTTAAATTTCGTTAAAAACCACGTTTTCTATTTCCTAGGAAGAGTAAAGAAAAAAAAAACTAAACTGCATTTGATATCTGTAGGGAATGCGTCATGGATCATACGACAAATTAGATGACGATGGCTTTGCACCTCCGGTGAGTTGAACAAAACACTTATTTTATTTATTTATTTATTTTTTCTCTCACAATTATTGTAATACGCATTCGAACACTCGATTATTTGCCTTTGCATCAGGGGACAAGAGTCTCGGGCGAGGACGTGATTATCGGGAAGACCTCACCACTACCCCAAGAAGAAGCTCAAGGAAAATCCGCAAGATTCACAAGCAAAGATCATAGTACTAGTTTGCGCCATAGCGAAACCGGAATCGTGGATCAGGTTCATATAATAATAATTTCACTTATCCGATGAATAATATTACTTTTGATTTTAAAAAAGTATATGATATTCTCTTTTCTCCTGTTAGGTACTGCTGACGACGAATGCCGATGGACTGAGGTTCGTGAAGATCCGTATGAGATCAGTTCGTATACCGCAAATCGGGGACAAATTTAGCAGCCGGCACGGACAAAAGGGTACAATCGGAATGACTTACACACAAGAAGACATGCCGTGGACAATGGAAGGCATAACTCCCGACATCATAGTAAATCCTCACGCTATTCCTTCTCGCATGACAATCGGACAGCTCATCGAGTGCATCATGGGTAAAGTGGCTGCTCACATGGGCAAAGAAGGAGATGCTACACCTTTTACTGATGTCACTGTAAGTAATTTTTTTTTACTCCATTACCATTCTGTTGGAATATTACTTGTGAGTTGTCTCACATTGGTTCTATAGGTAAATGAGCCTAGTTTATAAGCCTAGTGGGCCACTCCTCCCATATGATATTTGGATGGAACCTCACCCTCCTCTTATCTTATGGTGTGTTTCACCTGCGTGGGATCGCACCCTTGGTTCTGTTTGCTTTTACTCTTTATTATCCATTTTTCAGGTGGATAATATCAGCCGAGCGCTACACAAGTGCGGCTACCAAATGCGGGGCTTCGAAACAATGTACAATGGGCACACGGGCCGTGTGCTGACGGCTATGATATTTCTTGGGCCCACATACTACCAGAGGCTGAAGCATATGGTTGATGATAAGATCCATTCGCGTGGGCGGGGCCCGGTTCAGATCCTGACCCGGCAGCCCGCAGAGGGTAGGTCTCGGGATGGAGGGCTGAGGTTCGGTGAGATGGAACGAGACTGCATGATAGCTCATGGGGCGGCGCATTTTCTCAAGGAGAGGCTTTTTGACCAGAGTGACGCTTATCGGGTCCACGTGTGCGAGAACTGTGGGATCATGGCCATTGCCAACCTTAAGAAGCACAGCTTCGAGTGTCGGGGATGTAAGAACAAGACCGACATTGTTCAGGTAGAGTAATAATAATGTTAAGCTGAGTTTGGGGGATTTTACTGTGTTTTTTTGAAGTTCAT